TCGATTTTAGCTTTAAGTTTATCGATTGTGTCACTTGGTTCTACTTCGAGTGTAATTGTTTTACCGGTGAGAGTTTTCACGAATATTTGCATACCACCACGTAATCGAAGTACAAGGTGGAGAGTACTTTCTTTTTGAATATTATAATCACTTAATGTTCGACCATCTTCCAGTTGTTTGCCGGCAAAAATGAGTCGTTGTTGATCAGGTGGAATACCTTCTTTGTCTTGGATTTTTGCTTTAACATTATCGATTGTGTCGCTTGGTTCTACTTCGAGTGTAATTGTTTTGCCAGTAAGAGTTTTTACAAAGATTTGCATTGTTATTGTTTAAAAACAAGTAGAGAATGAGAATAAATAAATATATGTGTAGGAAGAATGAATGAAGTAATATGAAAGAAATTGCTGTCTTTTATACTCTATGTTGTGTGTGAATGACTCAGCGCTCGTACGTGCGAGACGAAGATAGAAGACTTGAGGCATAATAATAATGACGCATAGCTACCAATGACGAGTAAAAGAAACGAAGGAAAAATGACAAAAAAAAGGTTGAGTGAGTAACTAGCTGTAACAATGAGAAGTGACTCGTTGCATAAATAACAAATCTTGCATGTCAGAGGGCGCTGGAAATTTCACATTTTCTCAGAGACATCGGATTTCGTCATTCAAAGTGGTAAAACGAAATAAAACTTTATTTGAATTCTACGTTTTTTTTTTCGTTAAGCTTATGAAATTATCAAGTAATATTTCATGAATATTGTTGACAATGAAATGATGATGTTGAAAAAATAGTTCGGTTTTATTTGTCTGTATACATATGATACTCATGACGTATTGTAATGCATGTATCTATGCTAAACGTTGACAAACATAGATTTCAAGCACAGTAAAAAACGATCCGATTTCACCCTCTAACATAAATAATTTTTTGATTTCACTAAAATTTTAAACAGTAGTATGATTCTGATGCATTGTTTTCTTTTAATGTAAACTTACTTTTTCATGAATATATTTTGCAATATGTATTCTTAAAATTAACCATCTGGATGAACACTAGTATCAGAATAGGGTCAAAATTACACATACATTAATGATTGTGTCAAAGGTGTTAAAGAAGGCATAAACAACTGTGCCAAATGGTCAATTAATAAGGAACTCTTCGTCGACACTTATCATTTATCAATACAATATTCTCGGTGATTAAATATAGCAACATGAATAAAGAGATTTTGTATTTTCATCGAATATTTATCAGCATTAGTAACTATCAAATTTTCAATAAATAGCGATTGATATATTTGTTTTCATATGCAAAAAAAAATCTTCCTGCAAATCACAACATTAAAAGAACCATTTCCTCGCACACAATTATACTAAGATACAAATACATAATATATGTTGTCATATTTTATATATCGAAGCATCATCATATTTTGCATATCTGACGATTGAAAAATAAGCAACAGTAGAAACTCACAATTAAAATATGACCTTGATAAATAAATAATAGATATAAGATGTAGTCAATCATCGTTTTAGTCCTACAAGTAATAAACATTCCTCATCCTGCTATACTTTCTCTATGTTGAATGTTTATCATGAGCGATAACCATACACTTTACTATAATCTGCATAAATATATCTGATAGTCGCAGTTACATTTGTTTTCCGTTGATTTCATAGTGACATCAAAACATATAATGTGATAGAATGAATCTGATGAGAAATGAAACAAATCTCTGAAAATCTTCTGATTTGACAAAAAGATTAATATTATATTTAAAAACCACCAGTAAGATTACTAAAATTCAGCTAATATTATAAAAAGACTTGACAAAAAGAGGATATATTAATAAAAACAAAACGATTTAAATTGATAGAAAAAAGAGCACATTTATTTTAGTCAAACATTTCATTTTAATAACACGAAAACAAATTATCTTCAATAAAAAGGTATATGTAAATATAAAGCTTCAAGTCGGTCTTGTCTATGTTTTTAACAATACTAAAATACAACACTGATTTTCATATTACGTTGATCAAACTGTTAGCAATTGGATCCATTTTCATTACTATAAAATAACAAATATCTAACAAGAATTGACATGTTTATCTATGGCACTTCTCAAGGCTAACATTTTCCGGAGTATATCATGTAATTGCTATGACCTTTTTCTACATTTTTTGTACCAGATACTTCAAAGAATAAAAAAAAGCTTAGTTCCTTTCATTCATAATTTAAATTTATAACTATTAATTCTCACTTGTTTTATTTATTTCCTTATCGATAAGATAATATCAATCATGTACTGACTATAAATGAGGAATATATAAAAGAATTTCTTGCACCTATAACAATATTATGAATAGCACAAAATAATGAAAACAACAGAAAAAGAACAAAAGTTAATTGCGTTCAGTGCTATAATGTAAAGCGGTTTTTTTTATTGATGATCACCACCACGTAATCGAAGAACAAGATGGAGTGTACTTTCTTTTTGGATGTTGTAATCACTTAATGTTCGACCATCTTCAAGTTGTTTGCCGGCAAAGATAAGGCGTTGTTGATCAGGTGGAATACCTTCTTTATCTTGGATTTTTGCTTTAACATTTTCGATTGTGTCACTTGGTTCGACTTCAAGTGTAATTGTTTTACCGGTGAGAGTTTTCACAAAAATTTGCATTCCACCACGTAATCGAAGTACTAGATGGAGTGTACTTTCTTTTTGAATATTGTAATCACTTAATGTTCGACCATCTTCAAGTTGTTTACCGGCAAAGATGAGTCGTTGTTGATCAGGTGGAATACCTTCTTTATCTTGGATTTTTGCTTTCACATTATCGATAGTGTCACTTGGCTCGACTTCAAGTGTTATAGTTTTGCCAGTGAGAGTTTTTACGAATATTTGCATACCACCACGTAAGCGAAGTACAAGGTGAAGAGTGCTTTCTTTTTGAATATTATAATCGCTCAATGTGCGACCATCTTCCAGTTGTTTACCAGCAAAAATGAGTCGTTGTTGATCAGGTGGAATACCTTCTTTATCTTGGATTTTAGCTTTCACATTTTCGATTGTGTCACTTGGTTCGACTTCGAGTGTAATTGTTTTACCGGTGAGAGTTTTTACGAATATTTGCATACCACCACGTAATCGAAGTACTAGATGGAGTGTACTTTCTTTTTGAATATTGTAATCACTTAATGTTCGACCATCTTCAAGTTGTTTACCGGCAAAAATGAGTCGTTGTTGATCAGGTGGAATACCTTCTTTATCTTGGATTTTTGCTTTCACATTATCGATTGTGTCACTTGGTTCGACTTCGAGTGTAATTGTTTTACCGGTGAGAGTTTTCACGAATATTTGCATACCACCACGTAATCGAAGAACTAAATGAAGAGTGCTTTCTTTTTGGATGTTGTAATCACTTAAAGTGCGGCCATCTTCCAGTTGTTTGCCGGCAAAAATGAGTCGTTGTTGATCAGGTGGAATACCTTCTTTATCTTGGATTTTTGCTTTCACATTTTCGATGGTATCACTTGGTTCGACTTCGAGTGTAATAGTTTTGCCAGTAAGAGTTTTTACAAAGATTTGCATTGTTATTGTTTAATAGCAAGTAATGGAAGAGAAGAAATAACTATATGTTTAGCGCAAGCTGAATGAAATAACGTTTAAAAAATAGTTGCTTTTATACTGTGCGTCTCGTGACAATGAATCAGCTTCTTGATAGTTCGCAACGATGTAGAAATTACGAGATATAAATAATGACGCAGTACAACAAGGGACAAAAATAAGAAAAAGAAAGGAAAAAGCCAAGAAAAAGGTGTAGCTAAAGAACGAAAGAAAGAATTTACGCCAATCAATTTAAAATGTTGGCCATTAGATTGTTACAGTACAGTTGTGAAAGATTTTTTCTCATGAGATGAATGCTGAGATTTACTTTTACTCAGAATTCATACTGGAAATAAATTCACTTTAAATAGAACTATTTGTTATGACGAAGGATAGCAGATTATTTTCGATTGGTTAAATTCTAATTCAATCAAATTGTTCTGAACTATTGTACATGTTTCTGATGAAAATGGTCGATTGATCTATATTCACAAGATATCTGCTCTGTTAGGGAGAAAAATACGAGAAAAAAAGGGTATGATGATCGTCACATACAGATACTGTCATGAACATGAAGCTAGCTCTTGTATCTTTTTTTTAGTACTAATTTACTTCAGACAAATAGTCCAAACCAACAACACCCGCATTCTACATACACACCCTCGAATTCCTCGCCGTCGATATCCTATTGGCAAGTTTCATCCGACTGGTCGAAAACTCGATGAATAAAAACGCTCGTTGCTGATTGGTTGAGACAGACAGACAAACATATATACATTTTTGGAAATGTAAGACCCTTTCTTTCAGAAAAGGGAATTATCACTATAAGCATTGAATTAAATGGCAAATAAAGCTGTTCTACATATCCATTATATCTACCGCAACTGGTCTTAACATACTGTTATATATCTCGATCAACTCACAAACACTGATACTGATTATTTTTCAAAGTTGTATCTTGACCAATTTATGCTTTTTGTGATGACCTTTCGATGTCTGTGGTAAATCAATTTATCACTACTCATTGTTGTTCGCATCTTGAATACAGTAACGCTCGTCGTCACGACTCGCTTGACCCTCAACTGAATCTGGTCTAACCATCATTCCTCACCGTTTGCTGAATTCTGTTTTCAGAAAAGATCCTGAACACAAACGCTCATACAAAAAAACCTGTTTATCCTATTGCTAAAAACGGTCATTTTGTGGAAGTAAAAGGACCTATCTGTTTTGTGTTGACATTTTCTTGAGTGAACCTGAAGAACCAGCTCTTCGTCGATCATCGGTGGCTCTACGACAGTGTTGCAACCGGTATGGTTTTTCCAGACTGGTACCAGCCTAAACCGGGCCGGACCGGATCAGACCGACCGGTATAAGTCATTGTATACTTTTGTCACCTTGTAAGAGGTTACATCAACCTTTAGATGAGTCATACCTACTACAGATAGTACTTCAGACTTGAGTGTCACTATTAAAGTGCATTTGGGAAGCATGATTAATGATGACTGTTAAAGTCAGAAGAAGAACAGGGAATTTCAAGACTTCATCAAACTTTACAACCGAAGTCTTAATTGTTTCCCTCGGTTGACGCGCACGACGAGACAATTGCTTCCATCTTCCTGATATTTTTGAACTGTGAAGCAAAGATGCTCATGTTCTTTTCACTTATTGACAGAAACTTTGATGTCTGAAGGAGGTTAGTCGGTTTTCCGACGTGGTGCCTTTTGGTCTAGTAATGATCTGTCATTAAGATGATGAGGTTTTCCCCTTCATTTTCCAAAAATAATTGCAGTGGCTTCATAATGTTTAAAATTTTAGTTCTCTAGTGAATGCACTAAAAGTTTGTTCTTCGCTCTCTGTTTCTATGGTTTTCTTCCGTTTTGACATTTATCGATGGATACAAAATTTTAGAACACTAGAGATTCTTCTATATTCGTGTTTCATACTATTCAAATATTCATCAGGAATACAAATTCTGAATCAAATGTAGACGTGTGCTTGGTTTCTCAATAGGTTTACTTTGCTATATCTCTTGTCTCTGCCAAAGATGTTGTATAAATCGTGCAAAATGAAATTAATTATGTAACAAATTACAATAAGAGTCAATCATTCTATTTTGTTTTGATGAAGTAACTGGATGTTGAAATGATTTGATAAAATATATTAGGCATATTTTGATGAATATTAACTCAATAGAAAATATTCTAATTCACGTTTCTGGATATAAATAGTCATTGACGTCATAAAACTAGTTTTGTGTGTCAAAATAAACACTTCTATGATCAACATTTTGAAAAAAAGAATGAGCAAATAGATTTTCTACCTCTGCTTCCTCCGCCATCTGTTCTTGTGTTTTCATGATTTTATCATTTTCGTTTATGTAAGTGGTATTTTTATTCAAATAACATTTGAAAAGAAAACGATGAAATTACAAACAGTCATATCTTTTATTTTCTTTATTTTATAATCAATGCATAGGATGATCTTTAATGAACAACATAAGAAACAATCATTTTTTTAAATAATCCAGATGTGTATATCTAATTATAAAAAAGGAGCAAAATTTATTTTAAGTATGGTTCAATAATTTCATTCAGTTAGAAATCGCTATATGAAACAGCAACTATTAGCTAATGAATAAAGAAAAATACAGAATAATCAGAAAAGAAAAAAAAGTCATGAATAGTTTTATATTCTCAGCTCAAACAATCAGACTTTAAGATCTTGTACGATTTCATATGTCAATCGTAAAGCCAGATTTTTCTGATAAAATCGTACAGTACGATTCTTGTATGATCTTGTAGCATCCATCGGAGCACTTACCGAGTCTTTCAATGCATTTTATAATTGAATTTCCGTCTCTGTAGCGTCCTCCTCTGGTCTCCACCATCCTTCGCCCCTTTTTCTCAGCTCCCACGTTTTCTCCTAAAAAAGTAAGGAACTGTTCACTCACATTCATTAATACTTACCATTGATTATGTTGTTCCGCACAATCTAGATAAAAAAGAATCATTTTATTTTTTTAAAATTTATACCCAGGTCAAAAAATCAGACATCAAGTCTTGTACGATCAGATGAAATCGTACAAAAAATTGTGGTCTCAGAAATCTTACATCCAGTCGCACTATAAGATTCTTATACGATCTTACCATGGTATCAGATTTTCTATAATCCTACAGTAATATCTTACAAAACAAAAACATCTGTCAAGAATCTTATGGTACGACTTGATCTAAGAATTCTGAGACTACGATTTTCGTACGATTTTTCGTCTGATCTTACAAGATCAAACATACGACCATGTAAAACCCTACCATATGCTTGTTTGACATGGGTACTTACATATTCATTCGATGTTGAACAAAATAAAACTTTTATAAAATTATAGCTGTTTAAAAATTGATACTTACATTTTTTCATCAGATGTTAAACCAAAACTAAATCAAAAAGAATAATTTTATTTGTTTTAAATTGATACTTCCTTTCTTAGTAGATGTTACACCAAATCTGAATTAAAAATAAATAAGTTTTTTAAAAATCCATATTTACCTTTTCATATGATGTCCAACCAAATCTAAATGCGATCTTATCTGACTATACAAGATCTTACAAGATACAGACCTTCAGATTATGCAAGAATCTTACTGTAAGATAGTTCTACGATTTCATAAGATTGTACAGTATTAATCTTACGGTTTCCGATTGTATGTATGATCTTGTAAGATCTTATATAATTTTTGTACGATTTTTTCACCTGAGTTAATATGAGTATCGTTCAAGTTTGTAAAATTGATAAAATTGCAAGCATTAAAAACATATTTGATTACTTTCTTGATTACAACATGGCTCAATTTTTGACATAATTTTATCAGCAACTTCCGTGACTTTCAACAAATAATTGATGAAAATGTTAAAATGCGCTGTATGTTTGCCACCTACAGTATGTTCTGTTTCATAATAATATAATAGAAACATTCAAAAAAGTCACTACATTAGTAATAATCCGATAAACTATGAAGATTCTACGATTACTGATATTTCTATTAGCATTCAATGTACTCGATACTCACTATTCTGTATATCATTCAAATGATCCATCAATATTTAACTCTGTCTTTGACTGTCTTTACGCTCATATGACGGATTACGACGAATATTTTGATTTTTCTCATATAACGACCTATCATTTAATTCCATACTGTCGAAGACTAGATCACAATGAAATAAAAAATCAATTGTCAACTATTTCACTGAATAATATAGACAAAATCATGACATTTAATGAATTATATAAATATGGTGTAACAAGTACACAATTACTTGAGTGGTCAGCACCGATTAATGTTGCTGAACAATACGAAATAAACGGTTCTCATTCAACAGAAGTTTTTTACAATTGTTCATTACCTTGGTTTGGTCCAAAATGCCAATACAGATTCGATAATGAACTAGCACTGCCGTTTCATGAGATTGTTCGACGAAACTTTGTTACTCGCCCGATAGCTTCAGCAGATTCCGTTGCTGGTACGTGCTATCCATTTGTAATCAATTGTTATCCTAATTCATCATCAGTCTGTCTCGATTGGCGTGAAGTTTGTGATGGAAAACTTGACTGCACCAATGGAGAAGACGAGGAATATTGTCATATACTAGAAATGAGTGAGTGTCCCGATGATACATATCGATGCCATTATGGTGGACAATGCATTCCATTGACATTTGTACGAGATGGGCCTATAAATGCAGATTGTCTTGATGGTACTGATGAAGCAGAATTATATGATAAAAAACTGCTCCGTTCTCAAAGTCCTTGCTTTACTTTACCGACATTTCGGTGTGAAGAACGTACTAGCCGGTGTCTTCGTTCTTTTCCATGTGGTGACGGTCAGCATTATCTTACTGATATTGTTTCACATCCTTTATATTCATGTTTCAATGGTCGACATGTACAAATAGCTCGATATCGACTGAAATCTCTTCCTGATAAAGTTCAATGGCTCCTAAATGAATTATTCAATTTCACATTAGCCTCGAGTGCACTTTCTCTCAGTCAAATATTAATAAATACAACATCGTATTATAAGATGATATCTTGCGAATCTATAGACAAAAAATGTTTATCACAATGGATTTTTAAGGCTGAAATGCCTTTCGCTTATTCTAAGTTCCACTTTATTTATTTACCTGATCGATTAGTTGATGATTTTCTCTCTTTCGTAAAGCCTGATTTTATTTGTTTCAATCCGAAAGAATGTCCTGCATTCACCAAATGTGCCGTAGATATCGGACTAAACAATGGACTCACTTGTTGTCCTTCTAATGAACTATCTAACAAATCATCATTTATTATCGGCAAAATTTCTGCTACTGTTGAAAAACTGTTTGTTCGTTGCACAACGACTGGTATAGAAGAATCATGTTCACATCGATCACTTTTTCATTGTCCAATTTCAATGAAATGTATTTCAAAACATCGCCTTCTTGATGGTATTTCTGATTGTTATTTTGGTGAAGACGAATCATTTCCTACTTGTCAATTGAACGATTCACAACGATTTATTTGTGAATCTGAAATAAACAAATGCTTATCGCCAATAGCATTAAACAATGGTAACAATGATTGTAAAGGTAAAGAGGATGAAATCACTGAAAATGGACTCAATATTTTAAAAGGAAACATTCCGTTTGGTCTATTATGNGTTGTGCAGTGACCAATAGAAATGAAGTTATAGGAAAAACGACTTTCTTAGAGTAAATCCAGGTGCAGAGTTCAAACTTGAGCTTAGTTCGGTCCCATATCCTATTGGTTTGGCGACGCGGAATATAAATCAACATTTTAAATGGTAGATTTCACAGTATAATTTTGATATTCAGATAGTCTAGGATGATTGATTGTATGATTTACTTTTTGAAGTACACATAACTCTCGGATTTAAATCCGAAGTTTCCGCATTTATTTTCATAATACCTTCAATATTTTGGTTATCTTGAACCTTGAGACCGAGATTTTTCACAAAAAGACGAACTCCAATTTGATTCTAATTACCATAGAAAAAACTTAACCTCGAAAAAGTGAAATATAGGTTTTTGTGGAAGGAGAAACTTCACCTCATTTTTAGTCCCTTACTCCTGAATATTTTTGGGCAAGAAGTATTCTTGGATTCTGAATCAATGACAAAGTTTGCTCTATTCTCATCGAGATTTGTCTACTCTGAATGTTTAAGAAGTTTTTGCGAAGCCATTTTTGAAAATCTCGAAAAGCAGATGATGCCTACATAAATGACTTTGTCGCTTGATACTTTTTCCTTACAGTGATAGTGCAAAACTGATTGATGCTAAAATATAGTATTATTGTTTGCCGTATAGAAAATGAGCAGTTATTCCAGACTAGGGGTGTCAGCGTTCCCGTACCTCCGGGTTCCGTTCCCTAGGAACGGGAACGCGTTTGAAAACTGGTTTCCGAGCACTCTCCAATATTCGAAGATGCTCAGATGTGCCTATTCTTTTCATTTGCATCAAGTCACGATGGGTTCCCGGGTTCCTCGGAACGGGAACCCACCCAGGTTCCGCGTTCCCAGGTACGGGAACGCGTTTCAAAATTGGTTTCCAAGGATTATCCAGTGTTCAGAGATTCTCAGATGTGTCTATCCTTTTCATTTGTATGAAGTCATGACGGGTTCCCGGGTTCCTAGGTACGGGAACCCATTCGGGTTCCGCGTTCCCAGGTACGGGAACCCACTCGAGTTCCGCGTTCCGAGGTACGGGAACCCATTCGCGTTCCCAAATACGGGAACTTGCACCGTATTTCAATAAAGGGAACTCGGAATTCAGTTTGCACATCTGTTTTCAAGGAGGTGAAGTTGCATATACATCTGTTTTCACGACCCAATCTAAGTACGTCGCCACAGCAAATTAACTGGATTTGCAGTTTTATACATTTTTCTATAGAAGAATGAGAAAATTTCTCTTCAATAAGATGGTAACTACTGCTTGATTACTATTTGAATTTTTTATTTTGTCTAAAATAAAGAAGCGTATAGTACTCGTTTCAATTGTTGAGAATATCAAGGAGCTGGACTTTTCGCCAGTTTAAAAGTTTGAGGGGTCATGTGTGAATCTTGCAAATGATTCTTTGCGTAAAAGACTTTGTCAAAACAAAACTTATGCATGTCTTTAAAAATCGAAAAGCTTTTTAAATGCGTTGATATAATTTTAAAAGACAAAATAACTCAAATGTGTTTTGAACATGATTTCATCCATGCAGCAAGCATGTAGCGTGACTCGATATTGTAACTTGTATTCTTTCCAAAGCCTGTATTTCCTTGATTTATTCGATAGGATTCTTTTTTCTCCTGCAGTCCAGTTAAAAGCCTTTCTATCGCTTAAAAGTGATGAAAGGACTTATATCGGAGTTGAGAGAAAAGCAATTATTGTTTTTTTTTCTTATACTTATATAAATCATTTGCACGTGTTGGATCACACATTGCTGTAATTAACGTTTTAACGCTCACGAGCTCTAGAGAGGAGTTAAAATTTTTAAAGAACCACTTTTTTCTAACGTTTTCAATAACTTATGGGACGAAAACTTCGTCGAAATCGTACAAACTTCTTTTTGTTGCGCTATTGATTCTATGGACTTTTTTATTATCTTTGTTCCCTATACTGAAACTCTAGAGTTTAGAAACCGAAATTTACCCGTGTCTATCTGTAACCTTGGCACAAATGACCATTTGTATGGTACACAAGACCCATTTCTGTGGTTCAGAACGCCTAGTTTTCTGGTATAAATGACTATTTGTCTGGTACAAAAGAATCGTTTCTCTGATAGAAATAACCATTTTTGTGGTCCGAAAGACCCATTTCTTTGATACAAATGACCATTTGTGTGACCGAAAGGTCCATTTCGATGGTCCAAATGACCATTCTGTGATCCAAAAACTCGATTTCTGTGTCGAAATGGTCATTTCTGTTCTTAAATGACCATTTTCATCGTACGAACGGACTATATTTAAGGTTGGAAAGAAGTTTTTGCAGTACAAGAGAAGCCAGAAGGACGTATTAAGCAGTATTGTCTTGCTAACGGCGAATGATTTTTACGAGCAGGTTATATGTATATCTACATATATTCGGAGAAGAATGAAAATTATTCGTTAAAATATTAGTTTTATCCATCGAATAATCACTCTTCTCGACAAACAATCCTCAGGATATCCGAAATGAGAAATGCTATCAGAACAATCTAACACATTATTCCGTACAGTGAAAGAATAGGGTCTAGAAATCGAAATTCAGTTGTATCCGTCCATTCGTCTGCCAGTCTGGAACAAATATCATAAAAGACCGTCTTTCTGCTCAAAAAGAACGGTTGTGTGGCAGAAGCGATCAAATATTTTAGCACAAATGACCATTTTTGTATCACATACTACGATCTTAGCAGCGGTGACATATATGACTGTAGAATAATGATTAGCGACTAGGTATTGCGATATATATTGATGAAGCAGTATTCAATAATAGGAAGTACGAAATCCGTGTACAGTGTAGAGTGGCTGTGTATATTAAATGATTCACTTTATACGACCGTATGTCTATATAGATTGGAGAACAATAAGATCGATTAGAGATAGACGCAGAATCAAATAGATGTCGTGTGATCTTCTCACCACGAACTTTGTAGACGGCTACGTATAAGTTTGTAGGGGCTTGTATTTCTTCTAATAAAATATGGAGAATAACGATTGTAATACTGAGTCATGTAACACCGCAATATAGGACGATTTATGGTGGCTTACGAACGTGCTCGTTAGATCCACGATCCTTTCACTTAGATGCACTTATAAGGCATATCACAATTCCTTCAGGATAGGTTCAAGTGTATCGATTCTCGATGCACATTATTTGTTACTTTTTGGGTAGAAATTCGAAACTGCTTGGGTGAATTCATACTGATAGAGTGTAACTAAAGCGCGGAGACAAATAATACAATGAAACCAATTTATGTTACGAAAGACAGCAAAAAACCGCAGTCGTAGCTATGCTTGTTTGATAACGAAATAGAACAACAATGGTTTCTCAAAATTACTGAGTTTCATATTTGGTCTTACACAAAATCTGAAAAATAGTTTGTACCCTATGTGAGCCAATGTTGCTTCTTAAGCCCCCCTCTCCCTCAAAAGAATTCATTTTTCGCCAAAAACATCAAAACTAAGATAAGCGCATAAGAAGATAGCCCGAAATATGATTTTTCAAACATGATAAAGCTTTCGAGTTGATGTATCTTCTTTACCAAAACTTTTAAACAGCTTTTGACACCCCTATTCGAAAAATAAGCTAAACCTGAACCTTATTTTCATTCTTTCTGAGTTTATGCTTCTTCGAATACCCAACCTAAAATTCTCTGCCAAGTTTCATGTTATGTATTTAAACCTTTTGTTGTTGGAAAGATCACGTCAGGATTCAGAGCGCTACATAGCCCTTTTTTGAAAATAAGCCTGTTATTATCACACAGCACTGCACCTGTTTAGGAAAATTCCCATTTTTTCAGATTTTTTCAGTCACATAGCTCATTGTTCGTTTTTTCCGCTCAAAAAGTAAGAATTTAAAAAAAGGACTCTGCGATGCCATTCACCCTGGCATACCTTTTTTACTAAAACAAATTATAGATGTACCATGAACCTGGGCAGAGAAATTTGGGTTGCCAAATCAGCAATATTTGACTCTTTTTTGGCCAATATCTCCCCCAAACATCATGACAGAGGGCCAAAGACTTTATCATAGCTACTGTACTATAGCCCCAGCATATTCTGTGAATTTCAGACCATTTGAATATCCCTGAACTGAGGCCGAATTTTGAGGTGGGAGGAGAGCGTAGCTTAAGTTGTTCCATCCTACGCACAATTATACGCTCTCAGTTAATTATAGCTGTATACTACATTTTACAATATGTTGCTTATTGTACACATAGTTCAATCATGACACACTGAAAAGCTATAACAAATTGATTCTACTCATCGAATTGTTGTTTGAAAGGAAGCGACTCATCACTTCTACTTGCCGTACCATCTGACTATCGATGATTTCATGTATAGAAAAATCAGGATCAACAGAGAGTGATTATTGAAAAATCAAACAGTCATATAACTCACAGAGTAAAACTAAGTAAAAAAGCTATATTGTTTCATAAATTCTCGAAAACTTCAAAAGCCCTTTTCGAGAAAAACAAATTGAAACAGTATACAATGCCTAAAATTAGACTCTCTAACAATGCCTTTGTTGGATTCTATAACTGATATTGTGAGGGTTATACTAGTAATTATTGCGCGAACTTCATATCTCCCATGGAAATCTGAATCAAACAAAGTTGTTAACAAAATATCTAGGCATCATCTTATGAGGGCCGTCAGTTCTCAGTCGATCAAATGTGTCTCATTGGACTCTTCAGCAGTGACTCTCACGAGATATGTGATGCCGATTTAGTTACTAGAAGCGGAAAGTCGCAGGAACTTCTGGTTCCAAATAGAATAACCCTCCTGGGTTCCGCGCTCTCGAGTTCGGCAAATCACTTGAAAACTGGTTTTCACTCATTTTGGAGCATCTGAAGATATTGAAACATGCGTATCTTTTTCATCTCTATAAAGTCATGATGGGTTCCCAGGTACGGGAACCCGCCCGGGTTCCGCGTTCCCGAGTACGGGAACCCGCTCGGGTTCCGCGTTCCCAGGTACGGGAACCCGGACTAAGTTTCGCGTTCCCCGTTCCTAGGTACGGGAACCCGAGATGGATTCCCTACCTGGGAACGCGGAACCCTGGGTGGGTTCCCGTACCTCGGAACGGAACCCGAAACTGACACCCCTAGTCAGAACATAAAAAATCATTCTTTTTTTTTCTTTTTCATTTGAAATAACGGCGCAAGCGAAGGACGAATTGTCATCATATTCCACGAGAGAAAGAGAATCAACGTACAGATGTTACATACATATATGGTAATTGTGTGCCTATCGCATATATAGTAAAAAACAACGGTACGTATTTCAGATTCCACACAAAAAAGGTAAAAATTGTGTATGTTTCTTTGCAAAGATGTATCATCAAATGAGAGTTGTAACTAGTTTAAAAATATTTGTAAACGGATAAAAACAAAGTTTTTTCAGGTAATAAAACTGATGTTAGGGACGAAATTTTGTTCAGAAGGTCGAAGGATTTTTAGGCTCGTCTTTTGTGAAATTCTCTGATTGCAATGAGCCTTATAATCAATTCGCTTATAACATTCTAGATGAAAAATAGGAGCCAACACAAGGTTGTAAGCGGTCGAAAATTTTTGGTGTGTGTGTATGTCTTCTCTCTCAGTCTACACCCACACCCCAGTCGTTTATATTTGTTTGGTTTTTCAAAAAAAAAATGAGCCATGCGTATATATATACATAGGGTGAACAATAGAGTCATTTTCCCATCAACCGATTGTCATACTCCAAATTTTGAATTTCCTCGCCCGATGTGTTTCTCTAGGTTTCAATTGTGCTTTAATTACGATCGCAGTACGAAAATAATAGTCACACTAGACGCAGTACAGCAGCACGTGAATGCCGATGCCACAATTGATAGAAAAACAGTGGCACATGAATTAGGTTGTTCTCATGACGAAGATTGAGACTGACAGTGAAGACAGTTGCGATACTCTAAGTTTCCACTCGACTCTAACTCAGAAAAAAAAGATGCATGCCAAACTTATTGTTTTCCATCAAACTCGATTGAAAAATATGATATAATTATAATGCTGATTTGTTTTATAAAAAATGAACTAAAGAATACTTCATACAAATGTTATCAAGATCGGTGCAAAATAGCAAACGTTTGTCTCAGTGCAGTAGCAATTTGAGACATCACACATGTTCTTATTGATGTTCTTATCATTAGTCATGAGATGCAAGAAACGTACAAACATTTTAGAACATATCATAGGACTCTGTTTTTCTAAGTGAAGCAGAAGCTCAGTCACTTCTGATTGTACTCTACATGATGACAAGCTAGGAGCATTATTCGATTCTTTCTTTAGATATGCTGAAACAAATGCCATCAAACAACGAACTTTTTCGTGGTCGATTCGACAACGTTCACGATCGCAAGCCAACTTTGGTACGAATCTTTATTAGTTCCACATTTTCAGGTAAATCCCTTTTCTAATCAGATCATAGAAAAAAAAACATTGATTTTTCAATCAATTATAGATACCATAGAAGAACGCGATGGACTAATGAAAAATGTCTATCCAAAATTGCGAGATTACTGTCTAAAAACATACAACATACAATTTCAGGTCTATTTTCTAACTACTACTGAATATAATTTGAGTCGTGTCGAAGTTATTTTGATCCAGCTAACCGGTGAGTGATTCATTGATTAAATGCTATTATCGAATTTCATAGCTATAGTAAAATTTTCAGATCAGTATCACACATATTTATATAAGTACAAAAAGAAAAAATTATGAATTATACAGAAAAATGAGAAATACATGCATAGAATGAATACCGTGTAATTAATTTACTTTTATTCCGAGGTTCATGGTTCTGACAGAATTTGACTCCGAATTGTGTCCAAAACTAGGGAAATCTGACCGATTTTGATCAAGATTATGCCAAACTGAACTCGAACGATGGAATTATAACGCAATTCGGTTGCATCTATGTCAGATCGGATCGCCAGAGCTTGACTTTGATGTTTATCTCGTCTGATTCGACTTATAACATGAGAAACCTCTGAGTAATATTTTTTGATAGAGTAGCACTTGACATGATTTAATTTCTGTTGAACTGAATAAACAATGCTAAAATCACAGCAATTAAAATTCCAATTTTCTATATGATTCGTAAATTTTCCTGTTTATAGCTAAATAAATATAGACTATGTTCATGTGGAAAATCCACTTTAACTATGCAGTTCGATAGTAACATTGTAACCAATGGATCACCGCTGTTGATCTGAACCAAAATAATTCCAGCAACTGATGTAACTTTGGCATGACATATGTACTCGAATAATTTCAGTATTCCAACTTGCGTTGGAGCATTCAAGATCATGCGACAGATGATCATTCCACTACCGATCTGTGTTTACAAGAATTAGATCAATGTTGTCGCCTCTCGCTGGCTACCAATTGTGTAGTAAATTATCTATTCATATCGAGTTACAGATAATAATGAATTGATTCATTGTCAGGTTCTATTGAGTCACAAATATGGATGGTGACCTTTACCCACTTATGTCAAACCAGATACGTTGAATATGTTGAAATTAATGCTGACTGCTGACGAGAGTACTCTTATCGATAAAGAATATGTTTTGGACGATAATCTATTTGAACCTGTCTACGTTCTTCGACCAATCGATCCAGAAAGAAGAGAAGAATGGCGAATACTTGAAAAAGATTTAACAACGATCTTACGTCGAGCATCTGATATCTGTTTAGAAAATAACAAAATTACTCAGAGTGAACGAAACCAATTTCATATTTCTGGTAAGATTTATTCCGTGGTCAATTTTATTTCAGAGTATTTTAGTGACGGCCATGGAAATCGTTCGAGCATTGGAAAATAATGCAATCGATCCCCAACGAATGGTTGCCTTTTTTCGAGAGATTGAAGATATTGACAAACTTGACGTTAAACTCAAATCAAAATTGATTGATACCGATGATGAAACAGAAATATTATTGAATCAAATAAAATTAAATATTCGAGAGAATCTTCCACTTGATAATCAATTCAACCATCAAGTTTATTCAAATTAAATCTATCAAACAAATCTAGTCTCTTTCTTTTTTCTGTAGGTCAACTGGAAAGATGTCTCGGATCGAGCCGATTATCTAACCAAATTTCAAACTGATTTCTATGATGTTATTAAGCGACAAATTGATTATTATATGACAAAAGTTCAAGCAAAACATGTTTTGTACGATGAAATCCTCGAACATGCTATACAATGTCGAACATTGAATGAACACTTTTTTTCACGTGATGAAATTCTCGAGAAAGTAATTTTTTTTCGATATTGTCCCATGTCTTTAATTGATTGAATAGGTTAGAGCATTTGTTTTGTCAGATGTATCACAACCATGCATGATATTCGGCAAGTCAGGCTCGGGAAAATCATCTATTATGGCTCAAATAACAATCAAGGTGAATAGTTTGTTGAATTAGCATTATTTGATAGAAAATAGTTTTAGGTATTAGAATGGTTTCGAAATCCGAGTTCGGTCTCTATCATCATTCGTTTTCTTGGTGTAACACCATTGTCAAGTGATATTCGTCGACCATTAATGTCGATTATACAACAAATCTGTATTCTCTATCATCTCGCACCATTATCTCCTGTTCAAGACTCTACAACAACTGAAGAACTAAAAACAATATTGCAAAACCTCTTTATGCAAATTCCAATTAGTGAACAACTTATTCTTCTTTTCGATTCAATCGATTAATTACAAGTCGAAGATTATAATTGTGAAAAATGGCTCCCAGCCAATTATCCACCGAATATTAAATGTATTGTATCTACGATACCAGTGATTACTGAAGATAACGAGGAACAGAAAGTCGAGTATAAAATTCTCGATGGACTTATATCTCTTTTCCCTAATGGTACCCTAATCGAGATTAGAGAATTCGATAGACAACTAGCACAACAAGTAGTCTATTCGTGGTTAGAACGTGATGGCCGGCGTCTTTCACCGCTTCAAATGACTTGGTTGCAGCCAAAACTCGAATCATACAGTCCGAAACAAGGTGATCCCGAACCTACCCCATTATTTCTTTCATTGGTATATCAAATAACCCAGGCATGGCGTTCATTCAATGACAAGCCTGATCATGATTTTCTTAAAATACAATCGACTCGAGATGCCATAAACTATTTATACAATCAATTATCCAAAAAACATGGCGATATTTTGTTCAAACGAACGATGACATATTTGAGGCTAGCAGGTGGCCTTAGTGAATCTGAATTGGAAGATATTCTCAGTGCAGATGACAAAGTTTTGAAGTCGGTTTTTGTTCATTATCTTCCCCCAACGAATATATTCCGATTACCAAGTGCCTTGTGGATTCGTATTCGCAATGATATGCACAAATATCTCATAGAAAAAGAGGTCGATAATACGCTCATTATCTACTTGTAAGAAGATTTACTGAAAAATATTCTAGAATCCGTTTTTTTTTGTTTTTTATTTAAAATTTATATTCAATTTTGCTTTTTTTGTTGCGTATAGTTATCATCGCAGTTTTCAACAACACTCGATACTTAATGTTAATCAAGAAAAGCCTATCGAAATTATTCGACGTGCTTATTTTGCTGGCCCAATTGGCAAATTTCCGAACTTACATGATCAACCATTCGTAATCGAATCGAAAAAACTTATCGAAAAGATGAACGGTATTACTTCATTGGTTGTTGATCGATGCCTAACAAAACAACAACCGTATGTTCTGAATAGGAATGAACAAGAATGCATTTTCAATATGCGACGAATTAATCAACTGTGTTTAAATTTGGGTATCTATCGACCTGAGCCATGCTTTCTCTATGATTATGATTTTATATGGAGCTTTCTTCATTGTTACAAAATGAGCGATCGATTCGTGGCCGATTCTCTTTTTCCCGAAATTCGATTTCTTCTTACACTCTATGTCAGTTGTTCTGCTATTCTAGACAAATATCCAAATAATTTTGCCTTCGAAATTGTTTCTCGTCTAGCATCTTTTATGGAAATGCTTCCTGAATTTATCTACAATCTATTTCAGCAATGTCTAAGTAATTGTATGCTTCGCATGTTGGAAAGTAATACACGAACATTCACTACAACTATGAATAAATACGAAATAGGTGTTGTTAATGCCATCTGCAAAGCATATAGTACTCTGTATGTATTTCTCTCAGAAAGGTTTCATATGTTTCGATTTTATGCGCAAGATTGGGCTGGAAAAATATTTGAATATAAATTGCCTTCAAATGAATTCACTTCGGTCAAGCTTGGTTCAACTTACATATGTTTCTATTCATCCCAATCAATTTTGATCTTTAAAAAATTCGACCATCACTTTGGACTTCATTTAAATTATAACCAAGTAATACATGTCGATTTTATACACAAGGAAGGATTATTTGTCTGTTCGAGAGATAATCAATCGATGGATATATGGCATTGTTTGTATAAGACATTGATTGAACAATATTTATTTGATGCTCCTATTTTAGAATGTTCGACCATTGAACGTTATATGGGTCTAGCAATTCGAGTGACACTTGAAAATGGCCTAACACATTATTTGATTACGATAAATGTTCAAGGAAAAATCCGTTTTCAACTTGTCGCGACATTAAATAAAAAACCGAACAAGCAAAATATATTTCTTAATTTTGAAACTGATGTTTACTATTCTGAAGGTCAATCACATATTTATCTCTACCATTTTGATCGTACCGAAAATGATCGTCTCGAAAAAATCGATAATTTACCTTTACTGAATCGGGTCATTCATAGTCAAAGTTTTTTCACCGATCGGCATCAGAGTGCATTAATATGGCTGACCATTGATTCTGTCGTTATTTTTCACTCATGTGGTAATCATTTCATTATTCCTGGTGAATATCATGATGTATATACAAGTTGCCAATTAAAGCGAAATTTTATTTGTTGTCTCAATCGAAATGAATCAAGAATCGATATATACGAATGGAAACTTCATGAGCACGTTCATACGTATCGCTTACTCGTCTATCTGCAACTTGATGAAAATGTTTCTCATTGGACATGTCAGATAGGTGAGTTTTCGTCATGTCAACAGAATTTTTCTTCTAGATGTATTCCTTGTTAAAGACTTGCAATGGGGTTTTATCGTCTATTGCATATTAGAGAACGGAGAATTACGTAGGTACAAAACAACAATGATGACTTATTTATCTGACAAAACAATCATATGTCCGAAAAGTTTAATACTCAAAATTCCGATTGATCATTTCGAAATTCAAGGAAATGTTGTTGTTGCATTAGACAAAACAAAGTGGTGAGTAATGTTGATGAATTTAATTGCCAAAAAATCTATGTTTTACAGCATTTTGAGTCTATTCACCTTTGCCGATCGATTATCTCTCGTCATGCAACTACGGATGTCGTTTACTATTGCACAAGCGGCCACTATCACATCCTATTTACTTTTACTGAATTCCAACAATATTCTCTTCATCTATTCAATTAACTCGACGCCAGAACTTCTCTATCAGACAAACGAATTTCAACATCATTCCGTCAAAATGTATTCACTTGGCTTGTCCTTCTTCATTATTGATGCTCAGACTAGTCAACTTTTTCAAATTGATACAGACCATTCACTTGAACTGCAGCCTATTGCACATCTCAACTTTGCCTGTCGTTCTCTATTAAGTACTATCATGGCTGACCGAATGAAATTATTTATTTTAGCCGATGATCACTCAATATTGGGTGTGTGGAATACGCAGGAGAGGACGATCAAATCTATTCCCATATTGCTAGATCATAACATTGAGATAAAAAAAATCTGCACTCTACAAACTGCTTTGGTCTTTTACGATCATAATCATCGAGCTCATTTATGGGATATTGAAAATGAACGCATCATCCTAACTATTGATCATCACCTTTACGAGACAAACATCAATTATTTAACTCTTATCGAGCGCATGAATAACAAATCGTTTTTCTATTCTGCTAAAAATGATAGATTACTTAGGCAAATTCGTCAGGAAATATTCTGTGATGTCTTTTGTTTTACAGAAGATGGCAAATATCTATTTGGAATATCTCAAAAAGAGTCATTACTATTAATGTATCGAGTTGATGATGGTCAAGTTTTGGAGAAACTTTTCATCGAAAATCTTTCGCCAAATATTCAAGTTTCAAAAGATCGTCTAGTTCTCTGTTCGAACAACGAATTAATCTTGTTATCTATTACTGAAAGAGATTCATTATCATTGAAACGGTAAAAAATAGTTTGCCTCTTTTTACTGCTGTGATTTAGTGAGACTTCTCTTTCAGAAAAAGTATCGGTCCGACAGAACGTTGTGCCTTGTTTGAAAATGTTGATTGGATTGATTGTCACAAAGACGAATGTTGGACGTCGACAAGTTCTATTTGTGCTTATGAAAATCAACAAACAAACACCACCAATCCATGATTTCCGATTCGTCGAGAGACTCTAACAAATGATGTAGTTCATTTTTCTTGTCAACATTCAATCATGTTCAGCTAGAATCAAAGAGTTTATTTGAAAGAATCGAATTGGAGTACACGATATAAGATCAATAAATAATCAGATGACCAGTTGAATGATAACGATAACCGTCGATGCGTTTTGGTTGTGAGAAAATATATATGATATTCAAGCAATAGACAAGACTTTTTGTAGTATCAATGCTTTTCATTGTCGGCTAGTTGAATTTAGGTTTCGAAGAAGATCATAGTTAATAAATCTGTCCAAAGAAGATAAACTTGAGAGAAGTCTTTATGAGGCTTGAGAAAGACTTAAGCATTTACTGCTATTAGATTGAGAAATAGGATTCCCATACGATCATTAGCCATTGTCTATGATATAGTCGCTCATGTCTGACAGAACTTATTGACTGGTGTAAGAAAAAAAAACTAATAGAGAGTGCGAATGCCGGTCTTCTCTTCATATTTTTGAAAATTTTCCTTTTACTATTCTCTTGATTGAAGCACGTTTCTCATTAAACGAAAACACGTGAAATTCTGCACAAAATGGTATATTTCATTTAATGAATATAGTGTCCTCCATTGTTTTCGATTAAATTAATCGTACAGTAAAATCTAGTATATAATTAAATTTTTTCTGCTTTCGACTTTTATGATAGAACGTTTTATTTCGCCTATAAATGTTGTCTTTTTTTATTACTTGGTTCTATTTCATAGTTGTAGCCAGTCCATTTCATAAACTATAATCTAATGGTTTTAAATTAGACATATTCAGTGACTAATCGTTCTTCTGTATGAATACATGAAAATGGCCTATACACCATCTTTCACTAAGGTTATGCGTGTTAACCTTGAAAAAATCCGTTAATATGGCGTTCGAAAAATTAGCCTGCTCTTCATATGGAGATTGTCCAGACCAAATAATACGATCTGTTTGTTGACGGACAACGGATCATAAACGATATCCATTTTGATCGATCTGGCCAGTCATACTTAATTATTTAACCTTCTTTTATGACAAAGAGTCAAGATTTTTATGCAATAGCATCAGTACACGCTTTGTTTCTATTGGTAGTTGTCTTGTTGACACCTGATTCTTGAAAAGTAGGCACCATTTCACCTTTGACACATTCACTTTTGGTCGAACTGCGTATGGACGATCGGAATGGTGTGATGAATTCATAGAACCAGTACTTCTAATAACTTTTATCCATAAATTAATTGTTCACTTT